CTTTCATTTTTTTTCCCCCTCAGGCCTTGATTACTTGTCTCTCTAAGTTTGAGATGCCTGTGTATCTTACATTTCACTGAGCAGTTAACAAGCTATGCCATCCATTCATTTCTCTGAAGTATGTTGCTTAGCTTTACCTTGAAGATTTTAACTCCCGTATTGTTCTTTCATTCTTTCTCTACCTCAATGCACAATGCTACATTTGAAATCATTTTGCTTGTTTGTTCAACAGAACAGGGATAGCAATAAACATCTTTCAATATTCCTTCTTTTTTTTCTTTTATATGTCTGTCTTTCTGATTAATAGCCTGTGTACATTTCTCAGTGTATTAGTAGCTGAAAGACTGCCCCAAAGCTATCATCATACATTTTCCCTGGGACTCAGAAATCCAGTATTCATACCACATTCAATACATGAATAAATATTAGTAACTTGGTCTACAAACTTATACTCTATAAAATCAAAGAGAAATTTCAGAAGTACTAATTTGGAAAAATACCACTATCAGCTATTCTGTGTCATTTCCCACCAGCAGCCAATGTGGCACACTGGCATAGAACTGCACATTTCAAATACTGCATGTATGTGTAATTGGATAATAAGTTTTGTTGTCATTCATTCCCTCTATGTCCATGATGCTTAATGCTTTGGCCTGAATTTCCACCAAAAATCCCTCATTTCCTGATATGCAATTATTATTTTGCCTCACATAGTTAAGATGTGCAAGTGGATAGTTTGTTAAAACACGTGTATATCCTAAAGAATGACCTCTGAAATAGAATTACCAGTGAATGCTGAAATTGAGTTTTCAATGGGCAATGACTAACAAGACTCAAGCTCTTGATTTAGGGTACTCACTCTATTGACAAAATATGCTGCAAAGCCCAAAAATGCTATCAGGAGTATGATAATGGGAACAAAAAGAATCATTAGTTCATTCATACATCATTCCAAGCTGAATGACAGGTAAACATACTTGAAGGAACCAGCAAAACAGGAAAATCTTGTAATGAATTAGGGTGAAAGCACTTTAAAGTTTGCACCAAAACTGAAACAAAGTGGTAAGAGGCCTCAGACATCTATTTCAGTTAAGACCAAATGCCATTTGTTAGAACAGGACTGGCCAGGACACATCATTCAATCAATATGGCCATAACTGTGTAAGATGAAAAACACATGAGGTGTGCTGGTTTTATCTTGTGAATAAGGATAACAATATAAGCTGAAAGTAGGAATTCCTGAAGAATCCACTGAAATCCTCCAAACTAGCAAGAAACAGAGATATTGATGATATGATAATTCATGCCTAACCGACATACTGTTCCATGACTAAGAGCTTGAAATGTAACATTATTTTGCAGTAATAATGCATACATGATACTTGCCATTCTGCAAGAAGAAGCCATAAACAATCAAATCAGAATTTTATATTTTCCCCACTCAGTTATGACCTTCCACATTCACTCGGTACACACACAGCTCTAATTTTAAAATCAATACAAACACAGGTGTCTAACAATCTACATCTATCACTCAGCTACAGCTACCTTGTATCATGGAAAAAATATCAAAGAACAACAGAAGCTCTCTCCCCCTTTTAGAAAGGTTTCAGAGTAAGACAGTAAACCACATTGCTGCTTTAGACAATCACAGTATATACAAAATTACAGTTTTCAAATGAGCAAACATATCAAACAAACAAAAGAAAAACGGATCAGTATCTGTTACCAGGCTAAACCCAAACTTTCCACTTTCCAAGGTGATTAGAGACTGCGTATTATAAAAATTAATATTCCTTGCGCACTACTTAATTAGCTAGTTTTCCAACTGGTGAAATTCTACATGAATATAATTATTTCCTAATGAACAAAGCAGGCAACAGCTTCTAGAAACTTCTAGAGAGAACCCAGTAAAGGCTCTGTACAAAAGAAAGAGGCTGGGGTTTTTGTTTTACCAAGCCTAAAAGGTTTCCTATTTTACCTGTTAGAATATACATTCATTCACTTATTATTCTCTCAGAAAGAAATTATTTTTCTGTAATATGGTGGGATGTTTCCCTTATCTCTTCATTAGCATCAGTTTACACAAATGGAGTTACAGACAATCTTTTTAAGCACTGGAGTATTCTGCAGGTAGAGAGACCACCACTGTGTGTATTCCTTAGAGATCAACAGCTCTTTAAGGCAGCTTCCAACACTGGAGCTTGAGCATTGCAAAATGAGCTTATGGTTAGTAACAGGATACAAATGCATTATTCTGTTAGCCTCATTTTAGCTGTATACAGCATTCTGGCCACAGAAATGTACTGCTTTTTGAGAAAACACATCGCAAGATGGGATCAAAGAGTGTCACAGCATGCAATGTTGTGACATGTTGCACAACAGCAATACTCACAATGAAAAAGAAAAAACTCATAATGTAACAATCCTGAGCATCATACTGTTACTTTGGCAACAGTATTAGAAGTGGACATGTAATGGCCTATGGAAAGACAAATACACTATTGTACCCATTCAAAAAAAGCACCGTGCCCAGATAAGTAAGCAAGGAGTCAAAAAAAAGAGATTTGGGCAGTAAAGCATAAAGATACCATCAAATTCTGTTTGAATCTCATAAAGACAGCATATTCCCTGATTAGTAGAAAACATGAGGGCTGGTTTAGACTAGATGTACCCTCAAATTAATAAAATGTTAAGTATTTCTGTTACTATTCTACACAGATATAAATAGGTTTTCCTGGTGTCTGTTTGTCCTCTGGAAATGAATCACAAGATGTCGTCACCTAAAGCATTCACTACTGGCTCTGCCTGCATACACACACACAACTTATACGTTATCCCCTGCAACCTAAACAAAGGCGGTCCCAAGCATAACTATTGTTTCTTATAACTGAGCAGTGGTAAAGTACTGAAAGTGCAGTTTTCCTCTGTAATTTTGCTAGACATGTAGTTTACATAAAAGTTACTATATCAGAACACCATCTCAAGCCAGGCTTCTGGTAGTCAGAATTACAGAATATATGAATGGGTGAACTAGTCTACAGTTTATCAGTATGGTTTTGCTCTTTTGCCTTCTGACAAGGCCTTTTACAAAGACCAATACCTCACAAATTGCACACTGCCCCTTATATTTCCATCGTCTACTGTAAGCTTCATTTCAACACACTTGTCTGCTCCTCACTGCAATAATGACTCATGCAAACTATGTTTTACACCTCTCTACACTTGCCTTCTTCTTGTTCCAGCAAACACCTTTCATTGGTGAAGGACGCATTTCCTCTCTACTGTTACTTTTCAGGAACAGTTTCATGGAGAAGACTTTCCAAGACAGTGAAACCACCCTTTATCAATCAGAAAACTCCAGTCTTGTAGCATGGACATGCACACATTTCTGTAAGAGGCACCTTCTGTGAAACAGCAAGCTAAGGTGGTTGGCAATATCTGGCAATCACAGCCTGGGATGCACAGGCTGCTTTGCAGCTTCTGTCCAGGTTAAGAAGAACACGCTGTCTGAGACCTGCTCCTGTCCACAAGGAACTGTTTTGTGAATATATATTTACACAGGCCTGAACTACAATCAGGTCTGCCAGACATATCAGTTGAGCTGAGGCACCACCAGAATTTAAAACCTAAGGAGCTGCTTTAAAAGATGAACACTTTTATTGTCTTCATTGCTTGGAATAAAACATGGCTTGATATCTCATCTTGTACCAAGGGAAAGGACTACTGAAACTCTGACACTTCATAAATGGGGAAAATGACCAAGAACAGCATTTTTCAAGCCATTTTTCTTGGTGACACCATCTGACACACTATCTGTTCCAAGATAAAACCCAAATACCACTGATTGGCAGAGATACTGACAATAGGAGAGAATCAGACTCAGGAGATGACTCAAAACTAACATCTCCACAAGCATTAATGTGTTATTTAGGCCCCTAACTCTGCCTGAGTCAATGCCAATTTTGCATAGTCCTCAGGGACATCATCACAGTCTCTGGTATCAGAATTGCTGGGGTGAGGGGGTCAGGAATAATCTTTTTTGAAATGTAACCTTGAACTGCAAATATCACCTGTGATTGATCACCTGTGAGGGAAGCCTATGGTATAGATCCCATGCAGTTAAATCCTCTTCTCAAACAGCGACAAATCTAAAAGAACATCTGCAGCACAGGAACTAGATTCTTAATTGTACAAGAATACTGTGCCTTCTCAGTACTGCAACTCCCATAATGATTTCAGAGCTCTCCGGTTAGATCCCTCATACATGAAATGTGTCTCCCTACATCTCTCACCTATTATTCCTAGTACATCAAAGGCAAAGTTTGGATAAACAATCTTATCTTTTTCAGATCCCTTCTGTCACCCTCAACAGCAAACAGATGGCTAAGATGAGTAGGAACTACTCGCATAGAAATTCAAAGGAAAACAACTCACTTTACAGTCACTGCTGCTCTTAGAGCTGTTATGTCAGCTTGCCTTATGCTTCCACTGGCAGAGTACAGCACTGGTCTTACCTGAGCTCTGAATGGCAGCTGGAAGCACACTGGTTTTGGTGGTTCACGATGAAGGCACAGGCTATACAGGCCTCTCTGTGACCCTTCATGAATGTAAATATTACTCCAAGCTTCTATACAAAAGATACAGGTAAACACATCCTGACCCACATGCAGCAGCTTGAACAGCAAGTTAGCTGTACGGCTTCCTAGTATACAACTGCTTTTCACAATCCTCAAAATGAGCCTCAAAAAGGCTTCCTAACTGTATGTTAGTCATATTTACATAAACAAACAAAAATATTTTTGTGTACAATGTTCCTCTACATGAACTTTACAAATGTTCATATTAATAAATGGCAACACAATCAATGACAAATGCAAAATATTTCAGAGTAAGATTTCACTGAAAGACCAGTACATCTAGCAGATTAGTAATGCATAGCACATCCAAGCTAGAAAATATTTTAAAAGAGAAACAGAAAAAAAAAAGATTTCCATTACCTTAGAAGTCCTTATATCCCAAGATTTAACTTCTGGGCTGAACCCTCCACAAATGAAAATATTTGAGTCTGTAGGGTGGAACTTCAGTGCGCTGATCCTAAATTCATTTTTGCTGCTAAATATCTGCTTCCCTAGAATAAAGTAAGAAGCAGAGCTTAACATTTGAGCAAAACCAAAAATGAAATACGTTATTCATTTCAACCTGGTTTTAAAAATAGCAATGTTACCAAAAGTGAATATGTTTATGTGAACACATTTCAAGTATCTAGGACCAGTCTTGTATTTCCAGTAAATCAAGAGTAAACTCACTAACTTCTATACATGTGTAACTACTCCTGCTCATGGGCTTCTGCACCACTGACTGCTTCCTACTGAAAGGAGAGAACAAGCAGTTCCCCATACTGAGGAGATCCACCGAGGTCCCAGTTCATTTGACATGCGGGACTAAATCCACAAATCCAATGACTGAATGTTTCCCTAGAGAAGGCATAGTCTTTCTTTCAGAGGGATAAAAATACCTAGAACAAAACATTGTTTTACAGAAATACCATACCCAAATTGCACTACAACTCTTGTGATGTTTACTTATCTTTCTGTGAAGGTAGGAGTGAAACTTCATCTTGAAAGTAGGAAATAATTTGCATACCATCATATGAAGGCAATAGCTGTTCCCATGGATACACTGTTCCCAACGTTTAATTGTGTACACTAATCTCTGCAGGATCCTGTGGTTAGCATCAACTGGAGTGTCGACACTTTCAAAAGCAACAGCATTCAGCTAGGTTAATTTATGCGACTTTTCCACAGTCAACTGCTTCTTTTAATCCTAACAAATTCATGATACTAATGCATTTGCTGAAATACATTTTTTAGAAGAGCAGTCTGCACCATGAAAAGTACATTTACTCAGTTTGCAATTTCAACTGTGCTTTATTTTCTACGTATCACACATAAAGATCTACAGTAAATAAAGTTACTGCTTTAAGCCACAGTGAAGAAGGTACTGCAGATGTAAAAACAAATAAAATTTAAAAAAAAAAAAAATCCTACACATCAAACCCTTAAAATATTGTGGCAAAACTCCCTAAAATATTCATTAATCTATATTTTCAGCAAGTGAGGCTTAAAACAGGCTTTCTTAACTGAAAATACTTTGAGCTAAAGATGCTGGTGATGGATAGATTTACTTATTATTAGATGAATGTTCATTCATATAGAATTTTTTTATGCTTAAGTTGGAGCCAGTTTATTTGATTTCATCATCAGTTCCATCTGCTGAACTCTATTTACAGTCAAGAGGCTAAGACTTGTCAATTTATTTATTTATTCATTTTAGAGAGGAGAGATTTTACTTCATCACACATGTTCTTTGAGCTAGCAGGGTCAGGGAGAATAGACTGCAGGGAGCACAAGGGAGGGGTGAGTGTTGTTCCATGTGAACACTGTTTTTTTGTAGGGGTTTTCTGTTCTTTTTATAAAGATTATCTACTAATTACCCATGCAAGATCTAAATGGTCTCTCTGTCACTACTGAGTGAAAGACTTAATTTAGTCCTTAAATACCTTCCCCCAAAAGAGAAAAAAGTCATAAGGGCAGCAGAGTTTCTCTTTACAAGAAATATGCAACAGTGACCATCTCTCACCATGGGAGCTTTCAGGACCCCAAAAGCTACAGAATCAGAGAAAAAAACCAAACAAACAAAAAAGAAAAACCAAAAAAAAACCAAAACAATAAAATTCCACAGGGAAGGAAGAAAATATTAAAATCATTAGTTATAGGAGCAAAAAGATATTGCTCTCAAGTACACCACTACCAGGCATCGTTTGCAAGCTTTAGAAAAGTTATATACACATGCTTCTTCCTCTCATCCTCAACACTTGAGAAAATACTGGATTTCCCTGTGGAGACACCCTAGCCAGTTTAATAGCTCTTTGCTCCTAAAGGAACTTGGTTCCTAGTAGTATCTAGTTTAATAAACAATCCATGAGTATAGTCACCAAGTTTTAAATGGCACTGCAGCCAGAAATTAACAAAAATACAGCTTACCTGTACTAATCCTGTCTAACAGTTTCATACAGCTTACTTGTACTAATCCTGTCAAACAGCTTTATAAAGGCTGCATCAAGCAGTTAATACTCTCCATAAAATACGTCATCCACACAGCATTAGACAAATTAGTGATTCAGCAGAACTCATCATCTAACCTTGCAACAAACATTAATTGTTTAACTACCTTTACTAAATAGGTTTTCACCTCCACAATACTTCTGAAAACTGCTTTTTCTATAATACGCACATATTTCTTTCCACTGTACTTTCTAGCCTAAGATATGAGAAAGTCAGGTAAGACAAAATCAAAAAAAGATGTGTACTAAATTCAAGACGCATTTCATCTAATAACTACAAGATCTGTTACCTTTTCCAAAGAAAGATTGATTTAAGATCATTTGTTTGTTATTAATTAGTCCATCTTTCAATCTCTTCCCCAGCTACTTCCAATTATTTGCTCAATATTTATTCCAGAAACAAAAATTCTCTATTTCCCTCTTCTCTCTCCTCTGTTTTTAAAAGAAGTGGGTACTAGTTTTGCCCTTGTCTTCTAGAGGCTGTTATTTATCCAAAAGATTGCATTGACAGCACACTGTAATGATCTCACTACTATGAGTTCTATTTTATAGTCTAATAATAAATAAAATTCATGCAAACAACCATGCAAACAAGAGTATTTTATTCATCTCTATATGCTCTAACCTGCTACTTTATCCTATTTAAGCTGTTACCTTACTGTTTGATGCAGATATTACCCATGCTAGCTTTTTAACTGGTCTGAGGAGCAATCACAATACATTAATCTTAAAAGCCCAGGCTCTCCAATTAGTACTTTGAAGTAAAACTTTCTTTCTCATTCTCTCACCCCCCAAAAGTGAAATTCAATTGAGCATCTCTTTTTGGAAACTCATTATGCTGTGTTCTGAAGAGTTGGTGGTATTAGATGTATATTTGAATTTCATTCTACTGCCACATCACAGAAAATGAGAAAAAGTCTGGAATGTGGAAGAGCAAAGGAATAGCAGCAGGTAACATGCTCAAAAGGGGAGGATCACAACAGTACAGAAAAGAAACTCTCCTATTGACAGAACTTGAATTTATGAATAATAAAAGAATCTAAATCAGACTGCTTATCATGCAAACATGCCTGAGCCCATCTAAATGAACTTTACTAACATTTATATTAATATGTCCCTTGAACCTTTCCATTTTACGTATTAGGACTGCAGAGCTGAAGTACTCAGGCACATTCTCTACACAGTTATGAAATCTCTATCACTGTATATCTTTCTGAACTTCAGAAATTTAGGAAAAATATCCAACTGAGAGACAGAACAGATCACTGCAGAATACGATATGGGGCAAAATAGCTCATGCAATCCAGTGTTTTAAAACAACAAATTCAACTTTTAGTTCTCTTTTGTGAAGACTTTACTTTGTGTGTTTTACTACCATGAGCAGAATTTCCTGCTTTCCAGGCTGCAACTATGCTATGATGGATCTAAGCCACATGGGTTGGGAAATCCAGCTTCAGTGTTTGTTGGAGATCCTGCTTCACCTTCCTGGAAGTCGGTATTTACAGTTAGGTATATTTTTCTCTAAAATGATACAGCTTATTAACATTAAACATACAACTTTTGGGGGCCTTATTCTATATGTTGCGAAAGATGTTCTTTGAGCAGAAGACTCCCTTATCCACAAAAGAATACAACAGGTATAATTCAGCAAGCTTGTATATACCTTTATTGTGCATATATTTATTGCATTTTAGTTCATAAAGGCAGCATAACAAAGATTCAACCAACTCACAGACTGTAGAAAATTATATCTTCTGAAAAATCTATTTGGCTAATAGAGGGAAAATCTATACCCCATATCATTTTCCTGTATAAGAGGTTGTTATTCCAAAAGCAGAGAACAAATATTTCTCTCAATCTTTAAGTTCACAATTTCAGTAACAAGACCTACCTCATCTTTACAGTGTGGTTTTTATTCTTAAAGTGCTTAATTCAATTCTTCATTTATTAAAGGCTCACCAGTAAAATACACAGTATGAAAAAGAAAAAAATCTTTTAAAAGATCTTGAACATATGTTTCTGGCAGCCTACTGTGAAACTGCTCAACTATGAAATCAGATATTCTAAAGGCTATTTAACATGGTGAATTTTTCAGAGAATATCAGCACAGTTACTGAGCACAGGATGCTTCTGTAACTGTGTTTAGTGGTTCTCAGGTTCACACCCCTACCTGCATAATCCAAAATCATTCACTTCCTTACACTATTCTATAGGAAAAGTGAAGCCACATTACAAGGACATGAGAGTAAGCTCACTTAGCAGAATAAGCAGAACTTCCCTGACTGTATGCATTTAAAAAAAAACCAAACAAAACCATGTCAACTGGGCTTTTTCTCTGAAGTGTCATAGAAAACTTTTATGCATATTAAAACAACATACTATCTATTACTGGGAGAGAAGAGGTGGAATAGAATGAAGTCACAGCTCTCCTGAGGTGATGCTTATGTATGAGCACTTGTCCTGGTGAACCGGAATCTCCTATGTGAACAAATACGATTATATTTATTAACAATAATGTTATATCTATAGGACTACCACATTAGAATATAAAAGAAAATACAGAAAAACAAACCTGCACCATGTTTTTGGAGGGTACAAAATATTCCATTAAGAGACTCTCAAAATAATGCAAAAATTTTGTTTTGTTTTCAAAAACCCTGACGGATTTAAGTGACCACATTATATAGAATCTGAACTTTCCTTCAAAACCAACAGCCTAATTTCAGTATCCTGGCCATGGTAATGTGAAAACTTTCAAAATAATGGGAAATTAAATTTCCCATTATAAAACTCTGAGGAAGTTATATTTGAAATCAAGCTCAGTCCATGAACTAAAATATAACTGCAGCATTTGGCAACACAGGAAATGTGCCAGAATGTCTTGGAAAATTCCCTCTGTCATAATATCAAAGAAATGAGAAGTATCTGTAATACGCAAATAGAACCAATCCGGCCAGTGTTCTGCCTATGCTACTGTACCAGTTATTTGTGTCTAATAAAAAAAAATCCACTGATGAATAAAACATATATTCCAAAAATAAAATAGTTATAAATAAATTTTAAAATTAAAATTAACTTCCTAAAGTTGGTAAAGCATCTCCATTACATCTGGACATAATAAAAGCTAAATGTCAAATGTACTTGACCAGGAATTGTTTTAAAAGCTTTTTTTTTTTTTTTCAGTGTTCTGTGAATATAGCACTACCTACTAATCTGTAAATAACAAAGTGTCTGAACTATCACTAGTAGAAATGACTGCAAGTGTGGTCTTAGTAGAGATGAACCAGGGAGTCTAGCTGGTTCAGACTGCTACATTATTATCACATTTGTGAAAAAAATTCAGAAAGTTTTATTTTTATAAAAAATACTTTATATAAAATAGGACAATAAAAAATATTAACAAGTAATCTTTACAGGCAGCTCAGCTGCAGTTTTTGGATCTACTAATATTTGTAAAACTCCACACTGCAGTACTGTACATGCTTCACGTAAATGGCAGCCAAAGAACTACTCAAGCAAATGACACATGAATAACCTTGAGTTCTTTAAGTATTTTATGCGTATTTCAGATCAGACATATGCACTGAATACGTACATCAGTTTTTAAGAAAACTGAATTTTTGTTGTGGAAAAACGGACCACTTGCAGAAAACTGGAGCATCTTAGCTTGACTATCCTGAAGTTAGAAATAGGGATGACCATTTAAGATAATAAATGATGATCTATAAGAAACAAATTTAGAAAAAGAAGACTTGTACAACAGCATCTACTTCATCAAACCAGGACAAGTGAATTTGTTGTACCACAATAATTTGAACTCTTCTCTTTCCCTGCTCTTCCATCATAGCATCAACAAATCGTACAGGCTGAACCTCCTGGGGGCATCTAGTCCAAATAGGACTAGACACTCACAGGTAGATCCAGCTGCAGAGGGTTACTCAGGGGTTACTGAAGTATCTGAGTATCTCCAAGTATAGAGACATTAAAGTCTCTCAGGACAGCCTGCTTTAGTGTTTGATGACCCTTGAGTTGAGCCAAAAAGTTTCCTGTGTTCTTACATTTGTCCTTTGCCTCTCATCCTTTAACTGCACATCTCTGAAAAGAGCCTGGCATAATCTTCTCTATGTACTAGGTAAACACTTACAAATCTGGCCCGAGATGAAGGTAACCTTTGCTGCAAGAAAGCAATGCTGATTCATCTTCAGCTTCAGAACCCCCAGATTTTTTCTGCAAAGCTACTTTATAGACAGTTTAGCAATGGCCTCTTCTGTTGCATAGGATCATTCCATTCCAGATGCAGGACTTTGCATTTGTCCCTGTTGAACCTTATGAGGTTCCTCTTAGCCCATTTTCCTGCTTAGACCTCCCTGTATATAAGAACTTTCATTAAAGACACTTGACAAGCGGAAGCAGTTTGATGGTGTAAAACTGCAGGATAAGATTTCATGCATGTGTCTTCTACCCTTGCATGACAATTTCTATGCCAACAACAACAAAAAAACCTGCTTTGTGATTAATGAGATTTCAGTGTCTGCTGCTATCCCAAAGTTCACATCACAAAGATTAAACCAAAAAAAAAAAAAAAATCCCTCCAGAACATACAACCTCTTAGGACAAGGGATACCCAAACTTAAGTCCAAGCTTAGAAACAAGATTTCCAGGGAAATTTATTCTTTCACTGCTTGTTACAACATGCTGGCACATTTCTTGAAGAATCTTGTAACTAGCTGTCGTCAGACCCCGAACAAACAATTAGCTAGACTACAATTTTGATTTAATAGGGCAGAAACTATGTTCCTGACAGAAAAACAACACAAAATGAGAAATGAGAAAAAAAAAAAAAAAAAGCTCCAACTAAGCAGCTCAATACCATGCCTGTTCAAAGCTCCATTTGCAATCTTTCCTAAACTTTTAAAAGTAATTCTCTTCAGACTGTTAGGTTTCTTTTGGTGAAGGGCATGTAGAAATTTTTATAGCACAGATGCAATATATAGAATCCATACTGAAAAAGACAAGAAAGATTAGACTTTGGCAAACATGACTAGAAAAATGCTGAACCAGAACAACCTACAGAAGAGACAGAGCACAGAGCCTTAAAGACAGCATTATTATTTATAAAATCTCATCAGCATGCTTTTACTGGATTTAAACACACTGGTAGTTAGCTCAGTCTAGCAACAGACAGTAATTAGGATCAAAATCCAAAAATGTATCTAAAGTTCTCTGTGAAGGAACAGTTCTAACAGCTATCTGAAGTTAATCAAAGAAGAAATCATCTCAGCACTGATGAAGAGTGAGGAGGAATGAATGATTCAGTGAACTAATGTAAATCAAAACTTTATAGCCATCTTAGTGTTTTTCAAATGGAAATGAGTCTTTTTATATCAAATTGATTTGGATTCCAGAGGGAAACTGCTTGCCCTGTTTCTCTGAAAAGAATTGACAAGAGAGAAGGAAATCAGAAACTGATCTGTATGTATAGAAAATGACAATGAAATTCTGATCACTTGTGTGATTTTTGCAAATGAAGTGTGTGTCACTAAGTCAGGTCTAAACATCAACATTACAACTGCAGTTCGCATGAGTTACAAGGAATCCCGCGTCCTTGAAATAAGGCAATAATGAATATCTGGTATTTGCAAGGATTATAAGCATTCATTTTGCCTTTACACATAGTTAAAGTAGTCAGAAATCCTACATAACTCACAAGTTGGTTTCAAATTTGTTATTGTTGTCATTGCCTAAAACACGGAAGTACCTTCGTCCAAATGAACCACTACCAACAACATAAACCAGACTACTATCCCACTACTGGACAGTTGAGTCAAAAAGACGTTAGAAATTAAAGCATATAATTAAATTATATCATTATATCTTTGGAATCTGTTCTATTTTTTTATAAAATGAGATTTTCCCCACAGTAATCCCTTCAAATGACTCAGGCAATCAAATTTATTCTACTGCTATAAACCCCATTAAGAATGTAGCCATTCTGTTTAGAATTTGTAAGCACAACTTGCATTAGTAAGATTCAGATATATATGAGGCTAAAAATTAGAAGGTTGCTGCAATGAGACTGAAAATAAAAAACAGTAAGTCTAACAAATTAATGACTTGGTATATTAACCTCATGCAATATTACTACATCAGATATATAAAGCTCTTTTCCCCATTACAAAACATGAATATTCTAAAAAAAAAAAAATTTGGTAACTGCGTCACAGGTTTTACATTCCCAAACTCTGGCAGCTCCCTTCCAGTCACCACTGAATTTAAATATTTCTGGTATGATAAGTGTTGAGAAAAATAAAATCTTAGAGCATGGAAAAGAATCTTCTTTTCATGTGAACAATATTCACAAATTTCCTTGGCCACTTTCCCAGTTCATCTGAATAGGATTACTGCTCTCCAGATATTCGCATACAATGTACTTCTTTTACATAACAGAGAACCCTCCTAGATGAGAACTGCTTGTAATTTCTGTAAGTATTTCTTTTGTAGTCTTACCAAAAAAAAAAAAATTGCACCTTTGCGGGAGTTAAACATTTAAAAGTAAATTAAGTGGAAAAAATAAAATTACATCTCTTCAGCTGACAAGCTACTATTTTAGGTCTAATCATTTATACACACGCAGAGGTGTCCTATTATGTACAGCCCCAATGAATGCTGCCGTTTGAATGCAGGTAACATGCATAAAGGAGAAAAGAAACATAGCTAATAGAACCGCTTTAGTGTGTGAAGGCAACATGAGGAGAGATGCATCCTGGAAATTAGCTGCTAAAGTCACAACATTACAATCCCAAATCAAATTCACAACTGCATCAAAACAACACAGGTTCAGTCTCAAGGTTTCATAACAGAATTTAAGTTTCTATTTAAAAAAATAGAAAAGTTATTAACTTTAAGCACAAACTTAAAACCAATCCCACTGAGAATGAGATACAAGCCTATATTTAAATTAACCATATGTATATATGTTACTGAAGTCAGCTTTAAGAAGCTCTTCAAACACTTTAATGAACGATCATGACACAGCATACAAAAAATACACATTCTGTATCTGATGATAGAAATTACATATGTTCATGAAGTTAAAGATACTTGAATTTTCTTAAGTACCTCCAACTACCCTTAACTGCTGAGACTTTTTAGTGAGGGCATGTTTCAAAAATTCTAACTTGGAACTACAGATTTTATCTATATTTTTAAAAGAAAGAATAAGGTTAGTAAGATACAAAGTTATCTGTACTCAATAAAGATAGGGCTATAATGCACCCTTACGCGATCTTTACCTGTTTCTACATCTGTTAAATGCAGCATGGAATCAAAGCCCCCACTAAGGATCCTTCTTCCACAAGACGACCACCGGGCAGCTCGAACAGCACAAGAGTGACAGGAGTATGTTTTCAAACAGCAGCCTGTATCTACAGCATCCCATACCTTAAAAAAAGGATAACAAAAACCTCATGAAGAATCATGGTATTTTTTTTCCATGTATTGATAAGTAGCCACAGCAAATCACTGTGGCTGAGAAAGCTTTGAATTCTGAATTCAAATACTGCCAAGCTGTAGAATTCTGTTTGAAATAATAGCATGGTTGATAAGAATTAGCACATTTTATTTACAAGGCACAAATCACTACTACATTTCTACAGAAACATAGAATGGTTTGGGTTGGAAGGAATCTTAAGCCCCCCTGCCGTGGTCTAGTGCCCTTCCACTAGACCAGGTTGCTCAAAGCCCCATCCAACCTGGCCTTGAACGCTGCCAAGGTTTATGACTTTATGAGTTGTTTCATTTCTTGAAATGTCTACATAGCTGTCAATGGCTATTCATGTAATACTTTCCCATTCATAACACTGTCCTACCTCTGTGCAGGAACATATCCAAATACACTTGCCCTTAAAATAACTTTTCTTCCAAATTATTGTCTCTATCATGTCTTTGCTTTCTATTGAGTAAAAGGAATGCTAGCAGATTACAGCTTTCACATCTGCCTATAGATAGGCTACTACAGTATTTCTCACACAGTTTGTAATTCACTTCACTGAGGAGGCAGATAGGAATATCATCATGCAACTACATGGAGACTTCTAAGGAGTGGCCTAAGTAATTTTTCAGTTTCTTCTGGACAGAATTAGGTTGATGCTGAGCATTTCTAAAAATCATGTTCTACCAGTTATCCTTTTTTTTTTTTTAAAGTACAAAACGACTAATATTTTTAGAACAAAGATAGACCTGCTCATAAGTTAAAAAGAATCTTTAAAGAGAAATGCAACTGTTTCCCAATAACATATTTTAGAGAATAGAACTAGTCTGAATTACAATTTCAGTTACCACATATAGTACGTAATAATCAAAAGCACATCCTTTCCATGGTGCTCTTTTTGTCAGTTTTAAAATTAAAAGTTTAGCAACAAATGACCCATAAAAAGATCCAGTATGCTCACCTCTGAGAGAAGGATAAATATCAAAACTATTTTCCCTATCAAAATTCTGTTTCAGTAAAAGATTATAAAATAATTTACGATTGTAAAATGCAATATAATACCTGTTGAGTTGTCTAATAAAATAGATAACAAATGCTATAACCATACCAGTAAATCCTACATTTTATTACTTCTAATATTAGTAGTGCAAATAAATCAATGCTTTGACAGTGCTTCATGACAGTTTTATTGCAGTTTCAGTAAACCCAAGGAAGTTTATTGCTTTAAAGTCACCGTTTTACTTCATGGTACTTCACGATGTGTCACTTTCTCCCTGCTGCAGAATGAAAACAACACTGCTGAGGAGCTTCAAAGTTTGTTCTGAATTTTGTCCATTCCAATCAACTTCTCAAGTCTAAGATCATTTCTATAATGCTAGGAACAGATTAAGCAATTAACAGAATACAAAAAAAAAAGACTTTTTTTTTTAAAGTGAGAAACAATTCAACCTTCATGTATGTCAGCACAAGAGCACTGGAGTTAGCACTAAAATAAAATTGACTGCATATCTGTGCATTTTAAAGGACATTAAAAACAAAACCAACTTGGTAAATCAGAAAACATAAGCAGACATTTACTTTGCTGTGGGAACAGCACAATTCACAATACAAGAGAATGTAAAGGGGGATAAAAAAGCAAGACTCTTGGTAATGTATTTTTATCTTCAATCATATTTTGTTCTTACTGAACAAAAAGGACTCGAACACAATATCATTCTTATATAGTCCAAACTCAGCAGATAGCATTCCACTACAGAAAATCATTTCAAAGAATCTTCTAGCATGTAGCAAAATTCTGCAATGCAAAGCAACCAATATCATTAATTACTTTAACAGTCAGGTAAGACTGGAACCGTCATGGCCATACTGTAAGTATTCTACCCTATCCACAGGAAAAGAAATCAGGAAAATCTTAAACTGCTTTTGAAAGTAAGTTCCTCTGCTTTAATGAGTTTTAATGATTATTTCAAGATTCACAGTATTAAAAAAAGGGTTAGTTGTGTCTTGGAGGGCTTTGAGGAAGCTAACGAATGAATCAAGATGAAAGGAAAAAAAGGATGGTACATGCTTCAGATATTTTTCTGTCATGTTTAATGATTAAGGATGAAAACTCAATTTTCACAAAAGTATGAAGCAAAGCAAGTTCAACAGCACTTCTGAGATCCTGCTTGATTAAAAAAAGTGTATAAATGGAAAAAGCACACCCCTAAAACTGCACATTTCCCTTCATTAAGTGAAATGCAATAAGCATCTACTGTATTTCATTACAAAGGAAAGATGTTTCAACTCTCATCAGAGGATCATCGCATAGCCACCATCAAGTCTGCATTTTCCAACAGTCTCTTAAGTAGTTCCTTAATCCTGCATATTTCTACTGCTTAGTCACAATTAGGGGAAAATGTGGCTAGAGGGAGAGTTCTAACATAGCCTATCCAAAGCTTAAGACTAATGTCTACTCAGCAGTTGGTGTTTACTCCAAACAGGCAGCCACTGTCATGTAAAAAATTATATGAGTCCTTCTCACGTGAATTTGCCTCTGACAAACACGCAGATGTCAGCTTAACAGATTCTCCAGGATGGCAGGCATTTCAGAAGTTTTCTTGCAACTGAGATAGCCAAGTGCTTCAAGAACAATGTGTGTGTGGAAATTCATTTTTTTCCTAGTATCATTTCTTCACTTTTTCCATATGCTGGATATGCTGGCTCAAACTAGGATAGAACAATAAGCCTAAAAGACTGCATGGCAGTAACCAGCAGAGTTGAGGAAATGACCAAAGAGCATCCACCATGATGCCTGAACCCAGAAGCACGTTCTCTAAATTACCAAGGTAAACAATAAACAAACAGTTACTAACCAGTAGGCTGGATTGTGGCATTTCTGCTAGGAATATAGAACTGGGTTACAATACAGCTACCAGACTTCAGTCTCAAAAGAAAAATTTTTAAGGGCCTGATACAAAACAGGGGATGAGATCTCCCTAGGAATCAGGGCCACTAAAAACGTCCTATTTCAAATGAGTGGAGATGCTGATCATGCTTTATCTGCCAAAGAGGAACATGAATCACAGACTCTTTCCCAGAAAAGGATCCTAAACCCATTCTTCCGTGTGGCTTCAGAAAAAGGATTTGTACCCAAGAGCAGTCTAACGCTGAAGGCAAAGGCTGCAACACTATAAAGTCATGGTTGTAACAACCACAGCTTTATTTTCAAAGTGTTTTTAAGAAATCAGATATCTTTGAACCGTTTAGAAAGTCATATTTTAAATACCAAAGGCTGCTGAACTTTAAGTGTATCTAATAACAAATGCTTTTAAAAAAGTTTTATAAAATAAACTCATAAGATTTACCTGGAATAAAGCCTTACATATTTAGTACATAATAAATTACTTGGGCAGGGGGAACAGTTCATTAAAAAATACACAGGCTGAGATACATATATATTTCCTTCACAGGCATTGAAATGTTTATCAAGCATTACAGGACTAGACGCTATCATGCATCTGCCAAATGAAGACAGATTTATAATCAACTGTTTTTACCGAGAGATCAACTGCTTTAAGTGCTTTACTTCAAAACTCAGCTCTTACAGAAACTCAGTATTATTTCTAGATGAAATATTAAACCTGGTGTTTCTCTTTTTATCTTCTGATGTCAGATGTGATTTTAATTGCTGAGCTAAGAAGTTAAAAGCACACATTTCAGCCTGCTATTCTGAAAATACTGCTTATTGCTATAGATTCAAGCAATGTTTTACATTATAAATAGTAACCAGTCCATCCTTTCCCCTGATAAAGAACCCCCAAAGCAATGAAATATGCAACTCTTATTCAGAAAAAGACACATATTTCTGTATTACCTCCCCTAAACCTACCATTATAAACTAATGAATTCTGCAATATTTGAAAGAAATACATAGTCAAGACTCAAAGCTTTGAAATTACCTAGTTACTTTCAACGACTATATTTAATGCCTTTCTGGCATTAAGATATCATGAACTTTTTAATTCCATTTTTTCCAGTCTTATTAAAATTGGCTTTAAGGTGTCAGCTCATTCATATTTCCCTACTAGTTCTTACCCTTATGTACTTCACTATTTATAAAATTGCCTATTTCTTTTCCATCAATAGCTTTCACTTCATTTGATTTCCTCTCATATTATAGAAAGTATGATGATTACATCGTTATCTGCTAGGATTAATATATTGTGCCAGAATGGCAGATACAAACATTCAGGTGACAAGATTATACTAGAGATTCTTTTAAAAAAGCAATTTTCTTTTTACTTTCTCCAAGGCATATTGTAATTCAATTGCTCTTTCACATTCTGCATGATACTTGGAAATAAAGGCTTTAGAAGTTGACTGCTTTCCCACATAGCTTACGAATACTGCATAAAAACTGCAAGCAGCATTTTAGGTAACATAACCAGACCTTCCCACCCTCAAGATCAAAAGTTCACAAATCACATAAGCAACCAAGCAATACAGCTGATAAGATTTATTACAGATGATGTGTTTCCAGATCCTGTTTTCTGACTGAACGCTTTCAGGAAAACAGCCCCTAAAAATAAAGTACTTTGGGTTGAAGATAATACAAAATCTCCTGGTAAATCGCTAAAACAAACAAACAAACAAAAAAAAAAAAAAAAAGAAAAAGGAGGGTAAGCGCTTGATACGTCAATGAATAGCAGCCACAGAAGAATGTTCAGTAGTCTGCTATGCTATCAACCAGCCAATAGGACACAAAATAAAGGCTTTTATCTTACTTACCATCCAAACTAGGCATTCATTCCTAGAAAAAAAAAAAAGCCACAGCAACACAAGCAGAGTAACAAAAGTAACGTGAGAGCTCATAAAGCATATGGAGACTGATAAATTAGGAACTGAGCATGTCTCTTCCATTGTCATTCTATGATTACCTATAATATGCTTGCCTCCAAGCAAATCTGGT